CCTTCTTTCGACGCTCTTTATCCTCCACAAACAACGAATGTGCATTTCTTGCTCTTAAAATCAGAGCTTTTGATATCTCCACTTTCTCAATGCCTCCTTTCTCACAAACCGCATCGTACACCTTTCTGCGTACGACAACAGACTCTTCCTTCATATTCTCGAAAAGGCATTCTGAATTGATGGAAAACTCTCGTTCAACATTAGAATTTCCGTGTGATAAGCAGCAAACCATTTGAACAATCCTGAGCAGCTCCATAATGGCATCTTTCAGAAATCACGCCAAAATGCATCCACTCGAGTTTGTTTTCTGTTGTAGTTTTTAAAGATACTACTTTGACAGATCACTGTACGTCGGTTTTCCACATCTGCAAAAACACCACTTACTTTACAGTGGATTGTAAGGATGCTTAGCAACTTTTCCATTCACCGCTCTGCAACAGTTTTGTCCAAAGCAATAGTTGTAGGATCGACCGATGAACATGCTCTAGTAAGAGAATACGTCAACGGGGATCTGACAAGCAGTTTGATGACTATGGCCTTCAAAAAAGTTCTGCATTCATCTCGGAATTCGAGATGAACATTTCAAAATGTCCTATCTGCATTGATCGATTCTCTTCATTGACTCAGCTGCAAAACCTTTCCCTCTTGTATTTTACGTTTTGGACGCTAGATAAGAACCTCTTTTATCAAACTATGTGGTAGAATTTGTGCGAAATCTGTTTGCATAGCAGTGTTTATGAAAAGAGAAAGTCGATGAAGAGAATCGATCAAAGCAGATAGGACCATTTGAAATGTTCATCGAGAATTGTAGGATGTCCTTCTCATTGATGTTTCGAATTTAACTTAGTGCTTTCTTTACATCAAAACCAAGAACAATTTTTTTCGTTAGCAGATGATTTTAGCTGTCGTTAACTGCTTCTGCTGTCAAAGCTGAAAGCTTTTGGAGAATTTCTGGCTTCATGAATCTTTCCGCCAGGTTCAGTAAAGTGCGATACATAGTCTCGCAGAAACGGCTTAATTGTGTTAGTGAAATGTGCAAATGTTTAGTGGGGTTCGTATTTCATTGCAATGTTTATCTTTTTACACGAAACCGCTGTTGGCACTGACGTCAATCTCACTGTTGACAGCAGGGAATGTTGAGTGCTCAGCAATGTTTACAATAGTTTTGCTTCTAACACCAGCAGGCTACCTGTTGGCACATACCTTATATGAATTCATTGGTGTGATGTCGCCAATATGAGGTGTTGGTGAAAAAAGCGATTTGCCTTGCGTTAAAACTGTCATTGGACGGATGAACGCATAGTAGTTTAGATTGCACTTTTTCGGTACACAATCGGTAAAAAATATTCAGAATAAAGTTACTTTTACTAAATTTGGAAGGAACGATGCATAAGCAAAAAAATTCCCTGATTGTTTCGAGAATTCCCTGATAATTCCCTGATTTTGGCAGGGAATTTAGAGTTCCCTGATAATTCCAGGTTTTCCAGGTTTTTCCAGGTAGTCGCCACCCTGTAATTCATACTCGGGACGCACAATAGACCGCTCTTTGGGAGCTGCTGGTTCCTCCAGCCCAGTCGTATCGATTCCTGCTTTGAACCCATGCCTGCTGGGGTAAGATGCAATCACGCTTACCACTACACAGTGTTGGAAAAATCATTTTCAAAAAAAGTTCTATCACAGCTCATTGCAGAGATAAATCCCAAAGGAACTTCTCACAAAGAGTTCGCGAACGAAAGATGAAAAAAAGTTCATGAAAGCGTAGAGCGAGAGAAATTTTCATTTCGTATCGCGAAAGATCTTTCGTCCCTCCATCTCACATCATTTCACACGTACTCGTGATTCGAACCAACCAAATATCCCCTCAGCTTTGTTCTTTTTTTCCAGCGAGTAAAGGTAGGCAATGATCATGCGAGAGTGTCTGTTTGTTTTCTTCTCGTTCTCCGATATTTTTCGCATCCTTCACATTGAATACCATTTCCAGAGAACTTTGAGATTTGGGCATAATTGCTTTTGTAAACAAACACGTCATTCAGCGATTTCTCACGAATCAAAGCACAATCTAGCGAACTATACTATACCAAATGAATCATTCCTCTACCTGTCTGTGTTGTTAGTTTTTTAGATTGAACTTTAATTCACGAGAAATCGGCGAATTAAGTGTGTGTTTACAAAAGAAATTACGCCCTAATCTCAAAGTTTTCCGGATTTATTTATAGTTTTAGTTCTCAATGCAACCAGCTAATAGTAGATACTTGTAACCAGTGCTGTAAATTTTCATATCATTCGATTGAAGATGAACCACTACAACCATAGAGGTAACTCTAAGACCACTGGGTCCCGAAGAAAATCATTATTATTTTTGGCTCACTCAGTACCAGAACAACGGTCCCAAGCAGTCCCAAGCTATTTCACTCACCCCTGCATGTTCTCCATGAATCCACACACCCCTGATGTTATCTGTCAAACTTTCATAGCGAATCAACATAGTGTAGTAATAGAATTTCAACTAGAATAGGATACGTTAATCGTTTGCTTGGGACCAATAGGCTACTAAAGTGGTGAGCCAATTTAAAATCGTTAGTTTCGTATTGATTGTTGCTACAACCATTCAATCAATTCTGTGTAAACGAATTCTCACATGTCACTGTCAATTGAGTCACTCAGTATCATTTGATATACGACAGTGGAGTTGGAAGAAATCCAGGAAAATGGTCCCGAACAGACAAGTCGACCCGATGTCGGATCAATGTAAGGCTAATTTAAGGTCGATGTCGACCCAATGTCGTGTTAATGTCGGGTCAATTTTGGGTTTATGTCGGGTCAACATCGGGTTGGGGTTTGATAGAAGTCAGGTTGGTGTCGGGTTGGCTTAGCTTTTTCGCCGGAATGTCGACCAGAGCTCCGTTTGTGTGTAGGTTACACTCAATCGAATGATATATAGCGTTTCTCAAATGAGAATGATCCATGCCTTCGTCAAATGACTAAGCAACTGATATCACCCATTCGGAGGAGGTCCCCTTTGATAGCGAATAGCTACTTTTCTCATTTTCATCAAAAATGTTCAAATGATTTTGAGAATTTACAGCACTGGTAATAGCACAGTGAAAAAGTTCACCACCACCTATATTCCCAACCATCCCCCTGCATATAATTATTGCATAAGAGCTTACAGGAACGATATTACGAACACTAGTGATGAGAGGAGCCATGCATTAACTGTATTTCGTGAAAATGAGGATACATTAGGCGCTCCTCCTTCCGCAACCCCCTATCCTGATAACGGCTACTTTAAACAACAGGCGCCAGTAGACAGCCAGGTACCAGACTTATCAGTCTTTAGAGATTGTATTGATTTACTCGGGATAGCTTTCTGTCTATAATCTTTCCCTTGTGAAATGTGCAGTGCAATTTTCAAGAACGAATGTGGTGTAAAGAGATAGAGAGAGAAAATGATCTGATATTTTTCGTATCCTCACGTTGGTGATTCGAGTTAAAAAAGTTCGCGATATCTCATTCTCTCATCCCAGAAAGTTCGCTCAGGAAATATTGGAGTGTGAAACTAGTGAGGGAAAGTTCCCAAGAGAAAATGTATCGCAAGCGAAAATGATATTTTGGTGAGAATTCCATCACTGCCACTACACCACCGGCGCCGCTTGACCAGTAATTTGATCTACTGTATTCCATGTCCTTAGTTTAGTGCATGTCGTATTACTCCATAACTATTAATAAATGATGAAGAATTCGGTTTTGATACAGCTGTCATTCTTGCCTTCATCGCAAGGATTCGATTCTAATTGAAAGGTCCCGCTATCTATACCCTTCGAAGGGATAGAAAACGCGCCCCATTGACAGTCAAAATTGGATTCCTTAGCACTAAAAATTAAGCAATGACTCTGAAAATAACCATGAATCAGAACCTTAGCCTTAACCACTTCAAACTATAGGGAACAATGAATAGAAGATTAGGAATCACATCGCTATTTGCTTTGGTCCAAGCAATCCGAGGAGGCACTATTAACAAGGTATAAAAAGCAACAAGGACTAATTTGTGTTCCTTTGATTACTGAAGAATCCTGTTCCCCTAGTGTGAAGCAGTCAGGACTAGAATTCAGTGTTGGTCTTGCATCCCGTAAAGTATCACGAAAAGTTGATCTACCTACGTTATGCTATAATTCTCATCGAAACCTGGCTCGACGACAGAATTCATTCCTCACATTGCACCACTAAAACTGGTAGTCTATTTACTGTATTTTGCACCGTAATATCATGGACAGACATACAAAGCACTACCGTTGTACTGCTTTAATCTTGCACCTCAAATTGAACTTATTGAGGTACTTGATTGAAGAAGTACCACGCAAGTATACTACCGTTCTTCGCATGTCGGTCCCATAGTCGTTTTTGTCAAACCTGAGGATTTCAATGCAAATGGTAGGTAACTACCCATATTTTCATAATACATACTGGATGAACTCAACAACTTTGTTCTGAAAAAGTTTGGAAAGACAGTCAAATTGGCTGTCCCATTACATAAGTAGCAATGGTTCATTCGAAGCAACCTTAAAACGAGATTTTCTCGGCTTGCTGATTTGCGCTATGAGACGGACATGCGAAGAGCGGCAGCATAATGATGTTTATAAAAGCCTGAATAGTACCAAATCGCATCTTGATTCCGGTATATAAACGTTAGCCTTCCTCTGGAGCAGTTCTGATTTACAAGAGCATATAGCTATAAGCATTCCAACCGAAAATCTTATTTAGGGCGTGTTGAGAACCACATGAAGTCGGTGAAAGTCCCGGGGTCTACAAAGCCTAAATTTTGGCTTGCATGCCTTCCAACTAAATTGCGTTCTGAATTCCAATCGTTAGTCCGTTCCCGTCGAATGGGGTCTATTTTGAATGCTTTGGTTTTGTATTCAAACGTAAAATATCTGTAAGCCTTTAGGAAGGATTTGGCTGAAAAAATAAACAATTTTACTATTAACTACAAGTCAACTCACCTTCACGGTAGTACATTCATAGATTTTTTGCAGCAGGCTGTCATCCGGGCCGCTATCATCTTGAAATGGTCTGGTTAGCCGCACCTCCTTGCCCAAACATAGACGGCAGATTTTCGTTGAGCTTCTGCAAAATTCAAGAACAAAAGCAAGAGATGGCCATCAGACTAACTGTATAGTTCATTTGGATACGATTGTTTAAACGAAACAACCAACAAACAAAAAACCAGTTTCCATCTCAGTAAAGTATGAAACAGAACAGGCAAAACCAAATTAAATAAACCAACATCATCGATCCTTCTGTGCGAAACATCACTAACAGCAGCCAGCAGCTCGCAACACACAAAACAACAATAAAAAAAATTGCCCGTAGTCGTGAACATTCCACCAGCACTATACCAGCTCTTCATTGAAAGCACGCTACGAAAGAGCCATTGTTCTGTGCGATACATACAGGTTCTCCGATGCTCGTTGAACGTCGATTCGTTTCGGTACAGTCAAGCTACCCTGCGCCGTGCGCTCGTTCGATCCAAGGAGAACAATAGACGTGTTTTTTTTTTTCGTTCTGCCATCTCTGTCACTCCGCCATACAGAGTTGAACACTATCGCCATCGCCGCTGCTGCTAAAATGAGGAAACTAATAAAAAATAACCGTCCGTCCAATCGAACCACCAGCAGGAGAAAAACAAACACAAACACGCACACACTACCAAAGGCCGTCCATTATTTCGACGGGCGGTTGTAGGTATTCAGTGACGGGGGAGAATCTGTTAAGACAACAACGACGAGAGAATGAAACATTCATCGTACGCAGCTAAGCCAAAAGCAGATTGTATGCGACTGCTGGCTGACCCATGCTGCCTGTTTGCCTGCCGACCAACCGAGAAGATCTCGCCTCTGCGAAGCAATAACCGCCTAACAACAATGCTAGCAAAAAGAATAAGAAGAAGCAGTATACTTCGACCGCCTTTGTGTGTTGTCTTTTGTGTTTTGTATCTTCTCTCAATCGAGTTCCCTCCGCACGGTCCGCTCGTTCCTTGCCTCTTTGTCGTATGTTCGTTGCTTCACAAAACACACCAACCCAATACCAGCAAACAAACTGGTACGTTCTATTGCTGCCGTCGACGAGTGTGTTCGGTCGGCCTCAATGAGGTAATCTATGCGATGGGGATCAATGGTGGAACCGACGAAGTGAGAAAAAAAGAAGGAAGAAGCACCCTCCGCCGATCCATCCGATCCACATAACTATCGTCGGTAGAACCTCATGGAGAAATTCGTTCGTATGTGCGCTTGCCACAACGTAGAACAGATACTCACATTGCCAGATTCCTCCGCATGTTGTTCGAATGTTCCACCAAGCTGCTTCTTTCTTTCAACGCACAATAGGCGCTTGAACAAGTTGCAAATTCCACCTGGAAAAAGTCCTGTTTTTACCAATTTCACCATCCACCCTTGCACGAGGCTCGATTGTTTACATTTTGCACTTCGACGGGATCGGCTATGATGATTTTCGTCGATTATGAGAAAACTCACTGCTACTCAAAGAAAAAGGTTCTGAATGTGCTCCTCGCTGATGCTGCTGGGAACAAATTTTGAATGGAAATGCAGGTTTTCTCTATTTGCTCCGCCACCCGAACAGTATTGGTGCTATTTTATGTATCTCGGAACCAAGAATGACCGCTCCATGTAGGTATTGGTGGACCGAATAACACCATCTTCATTCAAGCCAAAGAGAGAATCACAATCGCGCATCGACTGACAGCAGAAAATATCGACAACAAAATAGAGCCGATTACCACCATCAACAATAAACTTACGTTCTGATTGTCTCCTCAAACGGATCTTTCAACAACACCTTAGGAAATGGTGGATTCGTACTCCGTGCCAACAGCAGCGATCCCAAAATACTCTGCTTAGGTTCGTGTGGGGCGGCCCCGTCCTCCACCACCACCGCCGTCGTCGGCGATGCTCTGGGTTCGACCACAACCTTCCTCACTCGTTTTAGCCCCTCACCGTTCAGCTCCAGCGACGGAACCCAATCCGTATTGTCGTGCTCGTACAACTGCGACGGTCGTCCAGAGGCAAAGTGCCGACTGCACACCACCGCCAGATCCCAGTCGATGTTTTTCCGCCCCACAACACGGATCCAAGCGGATCTTCGCTCGATCGATGACTGACGATTCCCATCCGATCGAATCACCGGAAAGCGATAGAACGAAACTTCCCCGTCCGACGAATTCGACGGGCACAGATTGACGCAACACTCGATCATTTTCTTCGTCCGGAAATGCGTATTCACATCCACTAGAGTTCGAGCATTTTTACAAACAACAATTATTTTCCACAATAGCAATTTTTCCGAACGAAAACGCTGACGAAACGATCCACACGCTTGAAGGAGAAAATTCTGAATGCGAAACCAGCGAAAATTAGCACACGAGTGTGTGAGTTAAAATGGAAGAGGCACGATAGGAGTACACCGTGGGAAGAGAATGCTGTCAAAAATATCGCGAGATTTCCGGGCAAATCGACAGGGTTGTGTTAAAGGGAGAAAAACATCGCCGTGGAACCCCGAGGGCGACAAAAGTCCCAAGATTCATTTATTCGAATTATACAAAAAAAAAAATCTCTTCCATTCAGGCTGTGTTCGATTTGGTGAATTTTCACTTCACACGAAAATAAATTATAATGTTCGAAAATCCCTCTGTTTTATAGGTGTTTTTCGAAATTGATTCTTGGTCTGTCAGAAATAAGTCTGGTACAATAACAGAATACATCCGAGAATACATCTTTCAAATTAAAAAAAACTTAAATCCCACCAAATGAATAGAACCGTTAGACCAACAATCAATACGAAACTAACGATTTTAAATTGGCTCACCACTTTAGTAGCCTATTGGTCCCAAGCAAACGATTAACGTACCCTATTCTAGTTGAAATTCTATTACTACACTATGTTTGTTTTGATTCGCTATGTAAGTTTGACAGATAACATCAGGGGTGTGTGGATTCATGCAGAACATGCAGGGGTGAGTGAAATAGCTTGGGACTGCTTGGGACCGTTGTTCTGGTACACGAAACGAAAATCAATTATTTAATTCATGTGTTTCACTTATACATTTTTGCCAAAGCATCAGCCTTATACATTCCATAAAACAAACCACATAGGTCCTATTAGAATGCATAAAAGGTATGTGTGACCGCTTATACATTTCATTTGACACATGATCTTTATTAACTTTTTGCAAGGCGTCTGCTTATTAGTTGACTTATACATTTTATGAATAATCAGCAATGGAAATTTGCCAAAAGGTATAAGGAGATTTCTATCCGTGTACTGAGTGAGCCATAAAATAATAATGATTTTCTTCGGGACCCAGTGGTCTTATAGAGTTACCTCTATGGTTAGACTAACATTTGAAAAGGGCTGAATTCCAAAATCACCATATCGAGAAAACCGCGTCCGCATGTTGATGGCCAAAAAATTTATAACATTTCACGGCTCCCCATTTTCTGAGTTATTTATTAGCTTTACACTGGGGGCAAGACAGCTATCGATCATGAGTAAAACTGAAGTTAATTTTGAGTAACTCGGAGTAACTCACGCTGCTCAATGACTTATATACACATAGCAACCTGATTGGTATATAGAGATTAGTGACGTTTAACGCACGCACCCTAGCGGGAGCAACACCGTGTAAAGTTGTTTATTATTTTCCTCTGGCTAACCTAAAAAATGTATGAAAGTAGATCTGTCAAAATGAGTTTGACATCGATTTGTTACGTATTTTCCTCGGATATTCACTAACACACTCTTACATATCGCACCAATACAACCGAACGTGAAAATCTCTATTGAAAATAATGTTTAAACCGACACACTAACTTTAGATTACTGGAGTCAGTAAAATTTTACTGGGTTTTTGAATTGCGGATCGCCCAGTAATCATCACAGAAATAATTTGCATTACCGAACTGTCCGTAAAGTCAATCTGTCAAAAATAACTGTTCATTCAGTAATTGGTTCTAGTTGCGTATACTGGAAAACCCAGTATTTTCTTTTTGTTTATTTCGCTGCAATTTAACTGAGAAGACAGTTATTTGGTTCATTATTATACCGTGTTACCCAGTTATATTAAAAGTAGTGAATGTGCAGTAATAAAAGCATGAATCCTGGTGCAATTCACCGTTTATAATATGCCAATTAATATGACGACTTAATCCCTTGACGTACCCCGGAATAGCGCGTCGACAGTGAAAGCAAACAATACAAACATCCATTTTGTTAATCAAAATTTGTTGGAGATCAAGGAACTGCAAAAAGAGTAAATAATTAGTGTTGGTACCAACGAAATATGTCTTCAATTTCGCTGTCGAGCTTTCCCAGTTCCGTCATGATATAATTCATGATATTATTCAAATTTTAACAAAACTGCGCGATTCAACATTTGCTCCCGGATTTTACTGAAGCTAAAATGGCGGCGGGAATAAAATTGACAGGTTAGAGTTTACAATTCGTGGTCGGTAAAACAAGGTGGCTATTTTGCTGACCAGTCGGTAAAAAAATAAAGACTACTTTGTGCACAGTAATTATTTTTACTGACTTTTCGTGAAATCACGAACATTTGGAAATTAACGACTTTCTCAGTAAATAAATGTTCTGTGTACAGTATTTTGCATCAAACGATACCGAAGTTCAGTTTGTGTTTTACAGAACGTCGGTTATTCACCTGATTTAAACTGAATTTTCAGTAAATCTTTCGTTTTACCGTGCCAGCCCAGTACAAAAAAATACCGAACAACTAAATGCTGGATTAGTGTGGATGCTGTCAAGCAAAGTAAGTTGGCGTGTTTTCTTGGAATTTCTGTATAGGGACTTTTGGGGTGATTCGATACCCGAGTAGCACACTTTCATCACAATAAGTTACAGCAACTTGTTTATGACTGAAATAAGTCGTATATAAGTTTTTACCTAGGGGCATCCCACTCTAAACTTTAGTTCAAATAATTATTAAATATTTTTAAATATCTCGTAAGTATCGCTAAGTATTTTTAAGTATTTTAATTCTAGGTTTTATTTTCATCGTAGTAACTTTGTTTTATGGCCGGTTGCTAGTGCTATGTTTGTTGTTTTTTGCTCCATCAGTTCGATAATTTTAATCGCGTGATCTGATCATTTTTTAGAGTATAAAATGAGTTTATTTCAAATGAAGTCTGCATTCATTCCAAGGGGTACGTATTTCAAATCCGCCTACGAAAGGATATAACAAAATGTATGTTTTTCAGGGATCTAAAATGTGAAAATAAAGTACACCAAATATTGTTGATCCGTTTTCTCCAACATCAGGATCCTAGAAGACGATTGTGGAACCAAAGAGCTTTAAATGTGTACAATCCCATACATTTAAAGAACATTTAATTACTTACAGTCAGTCTAGTGTGTTCATCATATGGAAGTGTTCCATATTTGTGGAAAAATGTATGTTGTTGACTGTATGTATTATGAAATAAAAGCTGAACACAATGAAACTGTTTATTCTCAGGACTACTAAAAATTTAACAGACCAATCATACTTTTCCGAACCACCGAAAATATAAATAACATTAATTTTAAAATTACAATATGGTTTTTTAAACGATAAAATGAAAAATGGAAAATGGAGCATTTTTGTAAGGTTATCCTTCAGGTCATTAACCCATTTAATGAGCATGCCCCCAATATCGCCACATTTTTTTTTAATCTGTGACGTAAAATTATTGGAACTATCCACTAGAAGCTAGTTCAAACCTCTAATGAAGTATCCATTAAATTCGTCACGATCTTAGGGGGGAGGGGGATTTACAAATATGTGACAAGCAATGCATTAGGTATTGGAACAACGTGACGAATGGGAAGGGGGGGGGGTACATTTTCTCTAATTTTTGCGAGTTGTAGTTAATGCATGCTTTCCAACTCAATGGTTCCAACTCTATTGGTTTCTTTAGGTTGGAATACTAGATTTTCTTCAAACTAAACCTGTAGGATCATAATGTCCACATGGAAATGTTCAAAGTAAGCGTCTGTAAGAAAAATAACAGGTGAATTGAATGTTATGATAGTAAATTTTAATAACCGTTCTAAATTTTGTTCTGAACCGATTTTTCGATTTGAACTTGTCCAACTTGGCGACCTTTATGAGCTTCAAGTAGAAGGACATCGTATGGGGAGAAATCCATGGGAATGTTGTTCATTTCTGCAACGCTACGGAAGCTATTAGACTCGGCTATCCGGATGTTACAAGTTCCGATTCAGCTCCCATCAGTTTAAATATCCTAGTTCAAATATCCTAGTGGATTAAAACCTCGATGAAAACCTCCGTAACATGATAGTCATTTCCAGATCTATATTTTGAACGATACATTTAAACGAGCAATAATCGAAATGTTCCAATGGCCATCAGTATAGCTTCCTCTTGAGACTGGATCAACGAGTCACGTACGATACGTTCAGTGGCGTGTAGTTAATTCTATTAACATTGAAAATCACAACTGTTAGACACCGGGAGCTTCTGCGCCGTTACTGAAGGGGACGTGTCTACATCCCTGACTGTTGGTCTAAGCTAATCCACCACCCAGCAACTCCCTTTCGTTATGCGTTTAGCTCTATCCGCTGTTCCATCGTGGTCCTCTTCATTATGGGAGTCAAATCGCCACCCGTTACGAAACGTGTAGATGACTGCACACTTAGAAATACCTAATCTTACACGCGATGGAATCCATCTTTGACATAAAGGATGCGACGTAAACAAACATGTAATGCAAAATTAAGTGTTCCGAGACTGAAAAGCTTGAAAGTACATTTGGTTGAGCTGAATTTCGCCTCTATTTGGACTCAATTTTATGTCAAAACCGACGCTCGTATATGTCAGTCTCAGAGCACTTAATTTTGCATCAATTTTTCTAAGTGTGTGGCTATCGACTACAAATTGACCATTAACTTTCTGATCAAACTGAACACTTTTTCTTTTCCTATCGTCTTAAAATTATACGCAACAAAAAACTGTTACCGTTCGGTTAAGATTTGAATCCAAACGTCAGATAATCAAACAAATGAAATTTGTCTATAGAATATAGCAACCGAGCAAACAAACCATCGTTAGATATTTCTTAAGTATTTCTTAAGTATTTATAAATATTCCCAGGTATCTATAGGTATATCGATAGAAATACAAAGTTTAGAGTGGGATGCCCCTAGGTTTTTACAATTGATTTGTGACAAGCGTGCTACTAGGGTAGGTTAGGATTAGACTAAAATAATTCAATAAATTCAATTCTTAGAGCAATACAGTTTGTAGCACTGCTGCTATCTCTCCTGTTAGTGTTGAATTCAATCTTCTGTAATTTTTTTAATTGGACCGCTAAAATGCCTTAAATGGTCGTTTTTTTTAT